GATACACCTGTGTACTCAGGTACATGCAACACACACACAGAGTCGGAACAGAGCTTAACATACTATATTAGAAATTAATAAATACTGAGATATCAAAAGTCCATAAAACGTTATATTTAATTCTTGAATATTAGCTATTCTTTGAAAATACAAACTATGCATTTAATGTCAAGATCATATTAAGATCAAATGCTACCATGTTAATCATTTCATTAAATCATTCAGAATTTCTACTTAAAATATGCCCATTCTAAATAATAAAGTTCAGGTCCAAAATAAAGCTTCATAAGCTGGCTTCTCTGTGAGCTTCTAGCTTCAGTGTCTTCGATTGCTCAGTGTGTTTCCTAAGCTTAGGCCGCCAGTGAGAATATTAAACGGCTCCTTTCGCCTGTACTGCTCATTCTAAGTGGGACGCTATTTCCTCCTGTCCTCATATGATTGATCACTTAAAACTTAGCTTTGAAATCATGCCTTTCTGGGAACTTTGCTTTTTTATTTTTTCCACAGTAGCTATCATCACATGCAAGGACCAAAGTAAACCTGTGTCTCTAGCCTTGTTTTACTCAAGGTGAGGTTATACTGTCACTGAGCTATGATGTCCCATGACACTCACAATGGGAAAATTAGTCCAATTTACTGGATTACACTTTGTGCCTTTGCTTACAAGGGAAACTGGGCTGTGTTAGAGTGACTCTAGATTTACTGATGCAGGAAAGAGAACAAGCCTTAGGGATGGGGAATGTAGGCTATTTCTCGGTTACTACATTACTTACACTTGAAGTCTTAGACCTTAGGAGTGTATGTGTGCAAAGGGAAAACAACAATGAGTGTATGTTCATGTCTGTAACCAGACAGATCTATGTAATTACAGATCATCAGCATCAGGGAGGTACAGCTACAGTGGCATAACTTAGAAATTTTGACAAATCGTCTTTCTCCTCTACAAGAAGAGAGATTATCTTCAGGAAAATGGCAGAGGGGAGGACACATAATGCCTCTTCCTCATTGAACAAAGGCTGTCCCACGCATCCAAGATGATAGCCCTACTTGGTGACTATCTATGTATGTGCTACTGAAACTCTTTATCACCAGGAACATACATCCAGAAGATGGCCATTTGTGCCTTAATTGGGATCTAAGACAGCAAGGTTTTCACAGGGTAGAAATATGTCCATAAGTTAACAATAATCAGAATGGGATTCGATGAATTGCATGGGTTTCATTCAAAGCTACATGTCTCAGAACTTTCCCCTAAAACTAAGAAGTCAGACCAGGGTATTTGTCACAAGGCAAGATCAGGAATAGGTGGTCAGAATAAATTTTACTTAGATTAAACAGGATAGAAGCACACCTCAATTTGAATAGTAACTGGAATGTGGCTTCATTTTGAACACAGGCTTGATGAAACAGGACTTATGGACATATTTAACTAAATGACTTAATTGAAAGAATCATGAAAGTGGCTTATCAATTCCACAATCTGAGTCAACTCATACAAATAAATCATATAAAGACTTGTTTTCCTTGTTTTTGAGAATCCATAGACCAAAGAATTCTACTACTAAATTATTTCAATCATTGTGGAAATGGCAGTACATGAAGGCATCTAAAAATGCATCCAATACAATACTTTTGTTTTTCCCATCAGGGAAAGGAGGTCTAGTTTAGGGAGCTGTTCAAGGTCACATAGGGAACAACCAGCAGTTTTCAGATTCTTCCACAAGGACCACAAATCACCTGTATGGATATCTCTAAATTCAATGCTACTGATGTGGGTAGGAACAGCCATGTGAGGGGGAGGGTGTTCATCACAGTAATAATAATCTTCTTCATTTCCTAGCCCCTGTGATCCCCCATGAAAATATGGAATGCCTCATCAACAAGTCAGTTTCACAACGAGAAACAATTATTTTTGTCTAATGTGAGACTACATGAGTCTTGGCAAGGAAAGAACTACAGAGGCCCCTGCAGGGATGAGTCTGTAAATAATGAAAGTGAGTTCTTTTCTGCAGACTTTAAACACATGCACCATTTTAGGGCCAGTTATTCTCCTTGATGCACACTGACAAATCTCACAGAGTGCAGATCAGTCAGAACATCAGAATCCCCACAGGCCACCTGGAATAGAGTCAGTTGGGAAGAGCTTACAGCCCCCAAAGACCCTGGAAATGCAATTCCAAGAGAATAGCAGGTTACCTAGGGTCTGTTCCTATGGCTGTTGGAGAGAGAAACATGTTTTAGAAATAATCCCATATATGTTAATAATACAGAAGTTATTATTTTGATAAAATGTATTTGTGGTATTTTATTTATGAACCCACTAAATATTTTTATGTAGATTTTTTTAAAATGCCCATTGAGTAAATATCCCTATTATATATTAGGCAACTAGCCCAAAAAATACTGTTTTAATATTCTTTGGGAGGAATTAATGGCACCTATAAGGAAATGCCACAGGTAGATATTTCTATGCCCACTATTTTAAACGCAACTAGAAACATCTACAACTTAATGACAAAAAGAAATCTGTCCTTTAAGAGGAAAGTTATCTTTTTTCTTAGAATCAACTTGCCCCAGGTCCACTTCATTTTCTGTTTACAGAATCTTCTGATGTACCATGAAACAAGCAATGTCCTAGGTAATTTAGCAACTTAAATTTGTAGTATGTTCCCTGATTCTAAACAGTATAAACAAAATTTAACCATGTGTAAATATAATTTAATGAACTTGTGCATCTACAACATGATATATTTAAAGATATCGCTGGGGTTGAAAAGAAAAAGGAAAGACTTTAGGGTTATTATTTATTTATTATTACTGACATCCTGTAAAATATGTAAAAGGATGTTGTTTCATTTTGGGGGGTTTTGTTTATTTTTATTTTATGTGTGTATGTGTGTGTGTGTGTATGTGTGTGTGTGTGTCTGTGTGTGTGTGTGTGTGTGTATTGCCTGCATGTAGGTAAGTGCATTCATGTCTGCAATGCCCATGGAGGTCAGAAGAGGCTGTTGGATCCCCTGGGACTGGAGTTACAGAAAGTTGTTAGCTGCCATGTGGGTGCTGGGATTCGAACCTGGGTCTTCTGCAAGAACAACCAATGTTCTTAACAACTTATGCATCTCTCCAGCCCCTGTTGTTTAAATTTTATTTTAGCAATAAGAACTTTTTCAATAATCCAGTAAGCTAGGGATCTGGGCTGGGTGGTAAGGGATAGACATATGTTCTGGTTTATAGTGGTGCATCAATTTAGAATTAGGTAACTTAATGAAACTTTAGAGATCATTATTTCTGGCTTACAGATGAGAAAACAGGGACTTACATTAAGCATCACAGATATCAACATGGTAGTGACAATTCATGGACCATATATGTGTCTGGACTACATGTTCACAATAAAGGGAAGATTTTCTTCCTCTTTTAATTGCCGCTCCAGAGAAACCATTAAATGACAACTATTGAAAGAATCTGTATTTTGAAAAGTAATGACAACATGATAGGTTTTAGGCTTCATGTTCACTACACAGTGTCACATTCAATCACATGCTGAAGGCAGATGGCCAACATCTATCGGTTAAGAAACCAAGACACAAAGAAACAAAGCTGCATGCTAAGGTTAACAGTAAATAGCAAACTCCCTGTCCTTTGAACTAAATAAAACATTTTCAGTTATATTTTACTCCCGGCCCATTGCATGTAGAAAAACCTGTTTCAACTTCCTTGCCTTTCTTCTGGATGCAGAGCAATGTTTGGAAGACACGAGGGCGAAAGGTGAAAGAAGCAGGGAACCAACAGGAGAAAGCACAGCAGGTACTGCTCACATGCCACTCCAGGTACGCACATCAGAAACCCTGATAGCCCTGGACCAAAGAGCAAGGATGAAGGATACCTGGGGCAGGCTGCAAATACTTCTTATTCTAACTATCTTTTCTAAATCCTAGCCAACAACTGCAACAAAAATTGTGAAGTTTACCTGTATCCAGTCAAGCTGATCAAAATGCTGGTCTCTCCTTAAAAAAAAAATGTCTAGTAGGGATAATAATATCCTCTGCTGAAATGTTTCCATCATGGTGAACTGGGTGGATGTAGGAGACAGGCTTGAACTAGAGTGGAAGTCCTAATGACAGCCATACAGAAGGCCTGAGGCGATGGCCTGACTGATGGAGCCACGAGGAACACCTTGTGATTATTGCTCCATTTGACAAGTCAGGGCTGAGGCTTAAGGCTTGCCACTCCCTAGTTGCCCTCCTTGAAATTCCAGGTTTCAGTTTATCTACAGCTTGCAGCACGTGGGCATAATAACAGCCATGGTCACATGATTTACCAGAACCAGGGCTGCCCATATATGGCATAGTCGCTGTATCCCTGTCTGATTGGTCCCGGAACCAGGGCTGCCCATATATGGCATAGTCATTGCATCCTAGTCTGATTGGTCCAGGGACCCTAAATAAGCTTGTAAATTCCTTAATAAAATAGATCTGTGTCACTGAACCTGGTCTCCTGTGTCTGAATACAGCTCCACTGACACAGTCTCCTCACCAGCCCTGGGGTCTGGGATTAGGAGGCAACAACAACTGTGAAGGTGGACAAGACGGATGGCTGCAGGTGGACCTGTGAACACTTAGGTAAAGTAAAAAGCTGATTCCGAAGGTGCCCATAACCATTTCTATAATGAGCCACTTAAAGCTAAATAAATAAAAGGAAGGCAGACTTTCCTACAAGCTTCTGAATACAGTCTAACAGAGGTGACACAGAGCTCATTAGCATTAACGGACTTTAAACTTTATTTAAAAGTCCTCAGCTAGCTTATATTCTGACAATATATCTGCAGTCTGTGCTGTGCATCAAGGCACAGGTGACGCAGTGGGGCATCTAACAAGCGATAGTCAGGCAGGCACTCTGTCAGGACAATCTTACCTTTGTGAGTTCTCTGAACTTAATCCCAGCCATGGCACTACTACTGTAGAAGTTGACTTCTTAAGTTCACTACCACAGACACTCACCCAGTACTGTTGAGGTAGCTCTGTCCCAAGCTGCAGTCCTTTGATAGTGAAGATGGGTTGAACCAAAAAGCTGGCAGACACTGCCCGTTGCTGTGTCTCTCATAGCCATAGTCACTATTGGAAAGAAAATCAGGATAAAAATTTCAGCCAATGTCAAACTCACTAAGAATTATTTTATATTAGCAGCCAACTTCTAAAATGAGCATTTATAAATCAATCCCTCTTCAAAACTGAAACTTTTTTCAATAGATTAGCTATTACCCATGAATATATCCAATAAAGCGAACGATTCCACTTAATCACCTTTAAGCTAAAGGAGTGGATTATGTCACCATTGGAATACACAATTCTGACTACAATTAGGACTTGGCAGTGATGGAAACCTTAGTGGAAACTTCACCACAGAGGTTAGCACAGTCACATGTGGCATGATCCTCATTACCAATGATGTCTTTGGGATGTTCTTCCAAGACAGCTGCATCTACCACATAGAGCAGAGCCAGGTCTCACTGTGTATAAGCCATATGCTTCAGAGTTACAGCCAACAGTGAACTGTCCTTCAGGAGTGTCTCAAGCACTCCCTTAGGGAAAAGTTTGTTCTCAGCAGTTAGCACTACCAGTTGATACTAACTGCTTTATATCTTGTCTCTGCTTTGGAAATAGGCAAGCACTTTCAATCTCTGCTCATTCTTGCTTCCAAGGACCTCTGAGTGGCCTGATATTCTTGGCTTCTGTAAGATGAAGCTGGCTAGAGAGAATGACAACAAATTGTACCTCCACATGCACAGCAATGCTCAAGCATTAGTATGAACTGGGACATCTCTGTAATGGAGGTGAGATACTAGCACATGGCAGCCCTGGAGGGAGAAATGGGCTCAGCTTCAGGAGTCTGTCACTAGGCAGCTGGAACTTAGAATTCTGCACATAGCCACTGGATTTGGGGATGGCTCAACACAGCATGAATAGGAAGAATATAGAATTGCAGCCTCCAGAATATCCCGTGTTCTCATCAGGGCATTTACCTTACCAATGCTGAAGAATGACCCAAGGTCACTTGGGAAATATCCAGGGAGCCTGGCTAACAAGGAACATCCAACACAGCATCTTTCATTATACTACTGTCAGAGGGCACTAACAACTCTGTCTACTGGCAGAAACCAACAAGGGCATGGTGAGCCCTGAAAAATATTTTCAGACATCATGTAGTCATCAAAATCCTATTTTACCAGGAAACATTAGAATGGTACTACTTGTGACTCACACTATACTCCTTAGAATGCTGTTCAGCTGGTGGAGTGGGTAGGAGACTCCAATCATTAATGAATACAAAACAAGATTGAAATGGAAGCTGGGGAAGAAGAGAAACACAATTTCTATCCAGAACTTATGTCCTTTTAGCTTTGGGAAAAAGAAAATAGAGGGCAGAGTGAGGAGGATGGGGAGAGATAACTAACATGAAATGTCTTTAGAAAAAGCTATATGGAAGCCTACCATTATAGAAGCTTCTAAAAGTATATAAATATATGTTATAAAAAGAGATTAAAAGGAGTTACCTTCTAACAGGAGACATTGTCCCTACCAGACACCACAGGATAGAAAAATAAAGTCCCAATGCCAAGGATGGGCTACCTCTTTGTAAGCTATTGACCAGGTGTCCCACAGACCCTCAAATAATACTGGCCATTTTCTCTGTTCTTGGTTACCCTCCAGAACTTGATGGTAAGACCCTATTGCTGAAGACACTACATACATGAGCTATAGAACAGATAAGAAGAAATCAAGCTGGTAGTAATTTCAAAGTTTCATCTCTACTGGTTAGTTTTTCGTAGTGTTGAAAGGTGCTAAACATGCTGCCAGAAGAGAAAATTAATTATTAGCATTCCCCAGCTGTGAGAATCCTGCAAGCCACACAACTGGCCTGGAAATAATGCCCACTGGTGCAATAGTGGCATGGATATTAAGGGGGTGGCCAACCACTTTCTAACTGGATTTACAGTCTACTTCATAAGATGGGGCCCGTACCTGACATTGATATCAGGCTTAGGAACCTGTAACTAGACAGGTCACACACCATAGGGAGAGCCTAATACTATCATTCTACTAAATAGATACAGTATTAAACTGACTCCTAATGACTTACTGCTATACCCATAAATTAATGCATCACTCATATCTCACCAGAGAAGCTTCCTTATGCAGCAGATGGTGATTAACACAGAGATACCCACTGGACAACATGTAGAGAATAAGAAATGGTAGAGTGTTTATCCCTGAATAGAACACCTATATCAAACTTTTGCCTTCTAAGACTCAGGAATCATTGCAGAAGAAGGGGCAGACAGATTATAAGAGACAGGGATAGTGGATGACCACAGAGAGAGAGTTTTATAGACAGCTGGTCAGTTATTCATATGAACACACAGCAATGGTGACAGCATGCACACGTCCCATGGAAGCTCAAACCAGACAAAATCCCAGAATGGACCTGGAAGTGGGTAAGAAACTCTAACCCTAGCTCAGAATCTATTGGCAACAGATGGCTGTTGGGAAGGGGAGTCAGTTTGTTTAAGGGTTGGACTTTTGGTAGGTTTCCAGGCCTCAGTGGATGGACCCACATTGTAGGACATTTGTGGACACAAGTTTGACTCTATAGGCATATATAAGTAAAGAAAAAATGTTTCATAAAAATCAAGACAATGGGCTATGCCACAAAACCTTTTCTCTTAGATTTTCTGCCAGAGGGAAACATTTCTCTACCCTTCCTCTCCCCAAAATGCTTTTTCACAGAGCCCATGCACATCCAGTAATGTAACATGCTGATTTCCTTTCCTCAGCAAATTCTCCTTCAACAGAGTGGATGATGGAGAAGCAGGCAGGCCTCAGAAAGAGGGATATGATGAGTGATTGAACATCTCAAGGGAGGCATTCCTGTGAGTTCATTTCAAGGTGTCAGTCTCAAAGGGTAGGACAGTGATAAAACACTTTCGTTGATCCAGTTATGTTCCATTTACTGAGGCACAAGTCTGGGTCGGGGAGGCCCTTATAGAACTCTGTGAATTTTTCTATTAGAGCTCGGTTGCCCTCTGGCTAAGCCCAAAGAGATACAGCTCTTGACTTCCCTTGTGCACAAACAAAAGGGAAACCATAGCAGATTATTGGATTGACGTCTGGGTGCATTTCCTAGCACTGATTATTCAGGAAACACCTCCAGTAGTCTACAATTAAAGAAAACCAACTTTTCTATAACAAGAGATGTATGTGCAGAAGGTATCTCACATAGATCACTGATGCTTTGATGACTAAATATGTGACCCATTATTGCTATGCAGATAAAAACAAATTGATGCAAATGACTAGTTTACACACCATTCAAGTTTCAATTTTTAAAATATACATAAATATATTAATTGTCTTCTCTGATATATACAGTCTCATGTAGATAAGAAAAATACAAATGAAGGTGAAAACAGCAGAGAGAATATGGTAAATTATTAGTCTTCATCAATAATTGATGAAGTAATCATTAGTCTTCATCAACTTCATCTGAACATTAAACAATAAGGCAAAGATATTGTTGGCTCCTCAAGCTAGACTTAGCTTAGCAAATTTTCTAAGAAGACCTCTACAGCACTCTAAGTTAGTTTAAATCTCCCAGTGTTGCAGTATTTCTCTAGTTTAAACTAGCTCCAGTCCCACCAAGTTCATAGGGTCAAAGATCCTTAATGCCATGGAACCTATTCTTGCAATACTCAGACCTCTCATATGTTATAGTTAGCTGACCACCATAGATTGAAAACTTTTAGGGACAGAGGATGCATGGCTTTATAATGCCCTTCATAAGGTCCTTACTGGGACCCTGAATTCTAGAAAGTTTTCATTTAGAGCATAAACATATTTGCTCCTTGATAAATCCCCTTATTATGTCCAGTGTTGCTATTTGAAGGAGCTCAGGAGAGAGCTGGTTTCTCTTTTTGTTATAGGATCTATCAACAATATGAAAATAATTACCAGCCATCTTATAAAGCTTCTTAAAATCCACAGAGAGAATTCCTGCTTTATCCAAAGACATATTCACATAGGTAATAAACCATGATATCTCCAAGAGACAATTTTATAAAAATATGAGGCTTGCCTCTTAGCCCTAGGTATATACCATGTTTTCAAACCTAAGCTTTTATTGAGGGCTATGTGGATGTGATTATTACTGAACAGCCCTGTGGGACAACTATGTAAACTCACCAGTCAAAATCTGCCTCTGTGCACACACATGGCTCAGATTCCATAGCTCCCGCGTATTTTCCTTGCATACACTTCCTCTCAGATTTTCGCTTCTTATATATCCTTTTGGCTCCCATGATGCATGCTTCCCCCTGTAAGGAGACAAACATCACACACAATTGAGCACATAGCTGAGGATCCTCCTGTAGCTTATCAATGCACTTTGTGGGGGGGGGTCGGTGTTCTCAACCTTAAGTGTAACTATGCAGTTTGGTAGCCCAATGTGTGCCAACAGTATTTTTTTAATTCCTATTATGGAGCATGGCTACCAAGTCAGCCCCAAGAAGTATGGCATATTTTTCTACTAATAGCTTTAACTCCTTATGCATTAAGGGAGCCTTTCTTTGTTAGGCTTGGTACAATAAAGGCTACATAAGAAAGAAAGATAGCCTGTGACTAATGAATTACTGGCAAACCTGCAATAATTAAATTCAGTTCTCCTGCAACAAAAGTTTTATACAGTTGGTCATTTATGAGCATCTGAAAAGAGAGTATTGCAAAGAAACATAAAGATACATTTTGTCTCTATTTATTATGTTTCTTCCCACATAACTTTACAGCAGTGATTTTATGTTCATCTATCAAGCAAGAAAGGAAGCTACATTCAGTATTTTTCCTTGGAATAAATAAAAAGCTGTGAGCATCACAGTGCTGATGCATCCCAACAAGAAAAACAGCGGCAATATAAATGAGTGATAATTTCATTATGGAGCCTCTGAATGGAGTGGGTGTTTCTTGCTAATGCAGCACCCACTATCAAAAACAACTCCCTTGGTGTTTCTGAAAACCCAGAGCAGAACTTTCTTTAATCTATTACCCACTGTCTTCCATGAGGAAACTCACTTTAACTGGTTCCACTTCACATCACATGTAAATATATTACTTTGTCTGGGTTTGGACTGTAAGATGTTTCACTGTCTGAATGAGGGCAGGTTCTTAGCATGTCTTTTGAATCACCTTCAGAATGATTCCTGCCTTGGGAAATCAAAAAGAGAAGCTCTCATCCAAGAATTTGATATGAGATGTATAATGAGATGGCGCGATGTAGGAAGGCTTCCAACAAGCCATGTTGCATTCTTCTTACAATGTAAGTAAGTACATGGAGGAGTCAAGAGCCACTCTGTTCCTGGGGCCTCCAGGCAACATTTAAGGCCTTTCCTGGCATCACTCACTGAGCATTTGCTTTGCTCTTTTATACTTTACCTCTGTTTGCATTGCTAGAGGAAAGAGATCTTTTAATTGCCCTTCCTGCATCATGCAGTCCCTTGTCACGCTCATTTGAATTTTATCTCCTTATATCCTAGTATAACAGAACAGAAACAACTTCGCAAGATATAAATGTCGTGCAACATAAAACATGTAAGAATGAAATAAACAGTGTAGTATTGGGAACTCCAGTTCTAAAGCTTTAAGACATAGCAGTCTTTCCATACCTTCCCTGCCTCCTGTCCCAGGGCTTACTCTTAGCTCTGTTCCTCCTACCTGACTGTGTAACTGCCAGGGTCTGTAGTCCTCTTCCGCACAGCGTCTATCGAAAATGGACTTGTAGTCTACTTTGACTAGCTGCCATTCAGAGCGGTGACTGAAGTGTCCAAACACTCTACAGGGTTCACCATGGAAAATACAGTCACAGTCATAACAATGACAACAGCATTAACAACAGCATCCATTAACTGCCTACTGGGAAGATGATGTAATGCTAGCCACATTACAAGGATCATATCTTCTGATTGTCAAATACATTTATGAGGCAGATTCTATCACTGGTTATACTAACAACTGGGATAGCCATATCACAGAGTGTTTGATTCAAAGCCCAAATGTATGTCTTATACCACAAGAATGGTTAAAAAATAATTGAAATATTTTTATTTTATTTTTATTTTATGTGTATGAACATAATGCCTGCATGTATGTAAATGCATCCATGTCATACAATGCTCGTGGAGGTCAGAAGAGGACTTCAGATCCCCTGGAACTGGAGTTACTAGTGGTTAGCCATCATGTGGGTTCTGGGAACTGAACCCTGGTCCTCTAAAAGAGCAGCCAGTGTTCTTAACCACCGAGCCATTTCTCCAGCTGCCTGAGGAAATAATTCTATTCTAGGTTATTTAACACATTCCTCTAGCTTCTTTTGTTAATATAACTGGTTCCCATGAGTCCATGCTCTTTTAACTTCCCACCAGTTGCTATAAGTGGGTGAGAGGATCAATTGGCTACAAGTGTTCTTACTTTCGCCACTCTGCTTTCTTGGGGGACTCAGATATTTAATGAAAACTTTTACTCACCAGTCATGGGTATGGATAAAAGCTACAAAGTAGCTCTCAGATTACCCTTTCTTTGTTTGGGAAACAGTTTTTTCCAAATATAAAAAAAATTGAATAAAGGCAGACTACTGATAGATAAAATGTGAATCTGTGTTTCCTATGCATAAAAGTAAAAGCGAGCCTATAGGCATGTTAAATTTTCTTCTTGCCTTTTATCATTGATAAAAGTGACGAGGCTTAAAAACGTGCCAGTATTCACTTTGATTTTGAAATTTTCATTGATTTCAGGATCAACTACCTTTGAATTATCCTTTCAGGTTTTCCATGGCCAATTTCCTGTGAGAAGGGAATATCACAGTTTCATATTTCAAATTCACAGGCCATGCTTTGACACTCACAGGCAGCTGAGTCATTAATCAAATCTTTCAGGACTTCAAGATTATTACTTTGCAGACAAGAATGAGTATATATACAGCTTCCCAAGACAAGATTGCTTTTGTGGTTGTCTTAATATGCCTCACAATTGGGTTAAAGAGCTAGGGAAAAAATAAAATCCTTCATGGGCCTTTGATCAAATGTGTTCTTAAAGACCTGGGATTTTCTGCATAAACAGTTTGCACATTATTATTGTTTTTTAAATGTATAGTTTTATTTCCTATTAATATAATTCCTTGGAGATAGATAGATGGTTCAGCAGTTAACTGCACTGACTACTCTTGCAGAAGATCCAGGTTTGATTCCCAGCACTGACATGGTGGCTAGCAAACATCCATAACTCCAGTTCCAGGGGATCATAGGTGCATTTACATACATGACATAGGTGCATTTAAGTACATGCAGATGATACACTCATGTGCCTAAAATAAAAATAATAAATAAAATATTTTTAAAAGGTAATTCTTCTATATTTCCCTATTTTATTGAATCCAAAGTATCATATTCCCTCTGTGACCATCCTTCATTCTGGGTCTCCTAAAATATACCTCCTAAAAATGTTTCCCATATTTTCTTTATTCATTGCTGGAGGATACACTAACCTTGCTAACAACCTCTCAACTAACAATAATAAATCAATCAGGCTAAGCTACGAAGCATCTCTCTAGGTTTACCATGTGAGATGAGGAATGGATGACATCATACTCTTCTACTTACGTCATGATTAGTGTCTCTTCTCCAGGCTCACCCAGAACCCCATCCACAAAAAGTGGAATGGATGTAAAACTGTATTTACTCCAAGATCTCCCTTCATCAAAACTCAACCTAATGGCAGAACAGTATAACAGTCATTAAATCTCTACATAAAAAATATAATATTCCTGTTGAAGTAAAGATGCTAATAACCAGTTGAGAATGCATTTACAAAGTGAGACTTCCTTCTGAGTGAGTGCTCTCAATTATCTCATAAGGCAGAAATAGAGACACACAAGCCATTGTAGCCAGATGTGTTGCAACATGAAGAAGGGAAAGCTGTGTGAAATGGGAATAAGCTAGTAGAAAAATTTAAACAGGATGTTTTATAAGTTCTTAGACCTCAATATAACTCTCTCCAAACCTTCACTGATACTTAGTAGTGAACCTTACTGGTGGTTCTATACAATATTGCCTTGTGAGATCGACAAATTCAACACTCCATCTCTAAGTATCCAAGTAATAAGTGAGTTTTGCTCGCATTTTATAAACACCGGTTGAACTCATTGAATGAATGCACATGGAGAGCAGGGGAAGTCTACACTTCTGCTGGCCGTGTTAGGAAATAAACGCCTGTGTTCTCCACATTCATATTTTAAAAATGTAAGCACTAATTATATTTTTAAATGGACATTGCAGAGTGGTGAGATCATAGAATTTCAGAATGGAACTATTCTTATAAAAAGGAGGCCTTGGAGAACGGCTTTGTCCTTTCCACTGTGCAGAAACACAGCACTGAGGCACATGTGGGAATCTGAAAGTGGCTTCTTACCAGACAGTGATTTGGTCAGCACCCTTATCTTGTATTTCTGGCCCCGAGAACTATGAGAAATAAATTATTGCTGTTCATAAATTACCTTGTTTATGGCATTCGCTTACAGAATCCTGAATCCTGATTGAATCAGTCACATGGGAGGTTTCTTTTGCTCCCTCTTTCTCTGTGGATGCCTATACTCAAGCTCAACCTTTGTTTCCTGCCCTATCAGTCATTAATATAATCAACAGTGGAGGGAAAATCAGCATTTTGACTTTGAACCAGTCCAGTATAGTAGGAACCACTTTCGAATACAGAAGAAGTTTGCTGAAAATCCCTATAGAAATTAGGTCTTGTGGAAGACACAGGTAGATTTCTAGAATGTCACTTAATCAATGAGAACTAGAGTCCACATAGGAGAAACAAGATAGGAACAGAATCATCATGAATTGCCAGTCTCTGTGTGGGTGGTAAAAAGCAGTGTACATGCTAAACTTCCAGACATGCTGGTCGAGATGAGTGACTGCAACCTGTTACTGGACTGTGAGACTGTAAGTGATCATGAAATGACTACACCATGATAGTGCTGGGGGAATGAGGCCCTGGCGAAGGTACTGTCACTTCCAGGAACTGTAATGCATTTACTCTTTTAGGAGAAGTATGTCTACCCATTCTTTTTTGTCACCAACTTTCCTTTTTCAAAAACATAGGCCAACATTTATTTTAACAAGGCAAAGGGATAGATTACATTGTAGTAGATGATAGCATTTAGAACAAATACAGTCATAATTTGATAGCTGATTCCTGGCTGGTCTAGAACCATCAGGCTATGTGTGTCCTAGGCAGGAATTTCCCTTACCAAAGGTGTCGAATTGGGAGAGATGTGTGTTTCATAGCCACCAGGACTCCACCTTGATCTAGGTACAAAACACTGTGCTCTTCTTCAAAGATCTAGATGAAGAAAATAAGCACACAGACACACATCCACATCCACACACAGAGGGAACAGAGAATCAGTCTTCACAGGAAGGTAAAAATCTTCCTCATGGTAGAACACATTTCCCTAAATCTTTGAAAAAATGTTAAGTGAAAGAACATTGCTTTACAATGTGGGCAACATCTACCATTGATGTTATATAAAGCAGTTTTAGATATCCATAAAATAAATGTTAAGAATGAACAGTCTATATCCATGTTTGTATTCTCCTGTCTTTATGGTACTATTTACCAATTCCTTTTTCTGATGATATTAGAATACTGTGTAACTGTATGATAGTACACATATCTGGATGGAAGGACTCTTGGAGATAGTTTACTCCAATATCTCATTGTTAGAGATGAGGATATGAAGATTTAGACCTGAGAGGTAGTCACTTTGCTGAGGCCACACATCACAAAGGTTGGAAATGAGGCTTGTGCCCCCTTCAAGTCTAATAGCTTCCAGATTTCCATGATTTATTGAAGAAATGCATTCTTTTTTGGCTCATAGATGCTCATCCAAGTGATAAACAGTTCTGACAAAGATAAACTTGTCAACTTTGGTTGCATGTGTCATTGAGACTTTCACCAATGTGGAAAATCAATTTGAAGTCAAATGGAGACATGCTGGGAAGTGTTTGCAAACTCTACATAAGATCAATGCTGTCCGCCCAGCCAGACTGACACTAGGGATTCATCGAAAACTATATTGCAGTCATACTCTGTCTCTTGTTTAATTCTTTTTCCCAAAAGTTAATTTCTCTCTCTCTTTCTCTCTCTCTCTCTCTCTCTCTCTCTCTCTCTCTCTCTGCCATGTGTATACAGGTGCCCATGGAGGCCAGAAGAGGACATTTGATCCCTTGAAGCTCGTTACAGGCATGTGTGAGCCACCTGATGTGGGTGTTGGGAGCTAAACTTGGGTCCTCTGGAAGAAGAGCAGTGCTCTTAACCACTGAGCCATCTCTCCAGCCCTACTTAATTTTTAAACTCATGAAACACCACAGGACTATAAAAGTAGAGATGACTATGCCTTCTTTGTACTGTTGGAAGAAGGAAAATGCAGTTTTGACTCTTTTCCAGGGGAAGTTTCCTTAGAATTGTTTACTCCAAAATCAAGTGCTCTGGGGTTTCCTAAGAAAAATTCCTTTCTTGTCTTACTTTTATAAAAATATGAGAATACCAGGGAAATCCTAGCAGTAAGAAATAGCAGTTGCACCATCATGTGGGCCTCTCTTTCTAAAATCTTGAAGCAAAAAGCTCTCATTGTTAAGTCTGATTACCCATACATTAGATTTCAATTTACAGTGCTAGTTGTTGTATGGTAATCAAACATCAGTGGGTTATTAAAATATATTTATTGAAGTGTAACAACCATGCACTGGGCTCATATCTTGTCATGATTACTAATCCTCATTAAATGCTTATTAAACAAGCTGTGGGTATCTAATTTTCATTCAGAAGAAAGGCAGAAAGCAGTTAAGCTAAGCACATTGATTTGAAGTCATTCTATTTGTACTTATTTAACATATGCACTCTGATAGTTATTACTCTGTCATTTACACATGGGATTTAAACATCACAGAATACCACCTGGGTAATGGCAATTTTTGCATCAATTCAAAGCAAGAAGACTTTGTGGAGACTCACTCTGACTTATGTGTGAAAACTACACTGTTAGATAAACATTTCTTATCAACTCCAGGACTGTTTACTTTTAAATGGAAATCCTATCAGACTTGATTATAAATGTACTGACATACGGATCCTTGATAAGAAATATCTTTGGCAAATAATCAAAATATCAACCAGAATAAACTTGGCTAAAATTAAAGATGTGCTTTAAACTTTCATTAAAATGATAAGAAACACATTAATAGTATTAGGATTTAGCAATTAAGTTTCCACACTTGAACCAAGTTGAAGAGTTATGCCGTTAGAACTTAAGAAGCACAACCCAGGGTATTTTCTTACCTGCCTCCAAGTGTTCCCTGCATCTGAAGAGACAAACATGCTGATGTCACTGTCCAACAACTCAGAACCTATGTTTCCTAGAAAGAGCACATCGTCATTAGTGTAGGCAACTTCCTGCAGAAGCCCACAGTGGCTGTCATCGGCAGTTTGCACTGCTTGGGAAGGATTTAACTGCGAACTCTGTCTAAGAGGGAATTTCCAGCATGCTTGCCTCAGGGTCAATGATTTAGGTGCCTTTCGAAAATATTTTTAGCTTGCTCATTAAATTCCAAGCACAGACATGCAGTTTCTCAAAATGAACAGCATTTACAATAGCAAGCAAGGCATGCACACTTCATACCTGAAGCAACAATGATACTCGGAGCTGTATCTCTGCTGGCGATGATCCCTGATGTGTAGGGATTCTCAGAGACCTTCAGATGGAGGTGGAGTGAACAATAGGGCTACGAAAAGGAGAAACAAGCATCATCTATGCACATACCTAACGGTCATTGAAAGCCCACATTCAATAGAGCCAGGCATGGTGGCTTGTTATACAAGTTCAGGGTAGTTCTGGTCTACATAGTGAGTTTCAGGAAAATCAGGTTGTATAGTGAGCCTGTCTCAATAAGCAAACAGCAACAAGCAAACATAATAAGCAAGCAAACAAAAACAAATTTAAAAAGCTCAGAAACTGTCCGTCCATCTATCCTTTCATCCTATCAGGCTCCCATTTATAAGCCTCTTCATCGACCCATTGTACCCATCCATCCACCAACTTGTCATCTTTCCTTACACATATGTCTAGTGTCAGCCAAGTCTCAGGACGCTTTAGGTGGTTCAAATGAAAGCACCTTCATCATAGTTCTAATTTACTTAAGCATTTGTAATCCGATAAACAACTTAGTATCTTATACATAAAATACTAGGTAAAGCTTACAAAATAATTCCAGACAAAATTTTAACAGAAGATCTTTCCATTGGTCACTGTTAAAAGAAATTGTTTGATCAGTCATAAGACAGATAGAAACTGTAGTAATTACTTTTACAATATGGACAGAATCTGGACTAATGATTTTCACCTAACCTTACAACCAAAAGGTTTATGGCTTACAATATAAACAAGTCCACTGAGCTATGTGCTGCTCTTGTGATGTAGACACCTGACCTTAATCCCTCAGAACCCCACTTTGCCCTCCACACAACAGAGTGAAATGAATGTGGGTATGAATTATTAACTTATCAGAATGCAGGAAGCAGTGTGCCATCCTCATCAAAAACAATGCGAAGAGCTGAGAAGGTGTCTGAGATTGTGTGTGCGTGCATGTGACATTTTACAGCTAGGGACTGAAGGGAAGATTCTTAATTAAAGGTGGACCCTAGCTTCTAATTTCCCAATTCATGCTGGAGACACTGTTTGAATAAAATAATGAGTAAAGCCTGGCTCCAGAGGGTAGTTCGGTGAGACATCTGAAGCAGAGTTCAGTTCTACTTTTGAGCTTAAAACAAGTTCTAAGAAACCATAATGGGGCTTAGGAACAAAGAGACAGAACTTTAAATTCTAGAAGGTGAAGAGACAAGGACCACACTAGGATTATATGTGGCTCCCAGGAGAAAGTGCTGCCTGAGGGAGACATGGTTAGGCTACAGATGCAGGTAACATGTTCAAAATATCTGAAAGGACATTTGAGACCTGGGTAATACCAATAACCAAGAGAAAGCAGTAGATAGGTTAAACACCACAGTATGTAGCCAAGGAAGACTACAAGGGAGAAATATGATGTGAAGCCTAGAAACGATTTAATCAGGACGGGAGGATGGAAACCGTCAGCTGGCAGCTCATTCATTCATACTTCATGATTTGCTCTAGTATAGAAAAGTCTGAATAAGATGTGAAATTGTCCTAACACCTATTAACAGTCAGCAGTGTCTAACCAGATGTCTTTTTTAGTAGTATATATTAATTGTACAAATTAGTGAGTTTCAGCATGACATTTTCAAACATGCACATAACACACTTTAATCGTATTACTCATATTCATCCTTTCTTTTCCCCCCTCCTTGAGGTTTTGTTCAGTATAAAAGTCATTGTGGTACTTAGAATGCCCTAGTAATAAAATTTTAAATGAAAATTTAAGGGAACTGGCTTATCTGTACCTGGAGACCTTGATAAAATTCTCTGATTAAGATATCAACAGTTATATTCCCCAAAATGGGTGATAAATCTTACATGAATTTTGTTTAAAACAGTCCTTGTACAAAAAATAAATAAAACTTTGTGTTTGAACTCACATCTCTTTTCATCTCTCAGGAAGATTACTTTCTAATCTTATCAACTTGAGTTTTCAGAATCATCAGTGTATCTCTGTTATTACTTTCACTCTGTTCTGTAAGTCTCAGCCAGTAGACATTCAGAGAGCTACAGTGATGCAATGATTAAATTTATAGAGGATGGAGTAAATGACAAACTAAAAATGAAACTCAGGAATAAAAGCAGCCAAACACTGCAAAATAAAATAGCAGATCACAATAGGATCTTTTCCTCCCTGCCAGCACAGAGTGTAAAACTCTGAAGGGGCAGTAAATTATTGGTTTTACATAAAATTTTTATGCAAAGCCTTTGAAGAAAGTTTTCTCTTTGTGACTTTCTCTAAGTGTAAGGAAGATAAGCCAGGAAAGGGAAAACACCACAGCCAAACATTTGACCTCTTTATGTCCAACAGGAAGAGGTGTCATTATATATTGTGCAGACCCTAGGGCAGTTTGGAGGAACAATTTAATCAGTGCTAAGGCAGGATAAAATGGAAGCATCACACGATTTCACCTGCAAGTTTCCCTGGTACCAGTAGCCTATTCAGGTCTCGTTTACTCTGATCAAAATACAATATTTGACCTTGTAAAATCCTATATTTTCTATTTCAGGAATAGCATCGTTTTGTCTTTCTGAGAGACACAATCCAGAAATAAATGTGTAACAAATAATAATTTGCATCTTCTATGGAATCTTGCATAAAATCAAAACATAATAAAAGCTTACAACAGCATGGGATGCTTTTGTGTTGGTCAATGAAATACTTTACTATGTATTCACAACAAGGCCATCAATGCACGGAACTGATTAGAAATCACATTAATCTTAATAATGCTGTGACCATCTTTGTAGCATTGAAAAGAGTACCACAGAGGTTGGGCATTATTCCTAGAGGCTTCGTGGTGGACCATTCATGTCACGTATCAGAGCGGAACAGTCCTGCACGGTGACTGTCCTGTTCAGTGGCTTTCCACAGTTGGGAAACTGAAGCTCAGGTGTCATCTGAACCAAGGATCATTTGATATGGAAACTTGTCATAACAAAGGAAAGAGGGTGTTTTCAGGTATCTCAGAACTGGTCTATGGCTCTGGCTTTCAGAGAGCCAAGACATTAATATAAGAACAAAAGGTCCCAGTTCATGGTGTGGCAGAACTGTTAGAAATGATCTTTCTGGTGCATTTTTTCTCTTCTCTCACATTTGTAGTACTGGATTGCCCCCAGCTGGTGCACAGAGAATATTCTATGGCATTTTTCCATTTCTTCCATTTTATTTTTCAAAAATTTACATAGTCTATGCTAATGTTTCAAGAAAAACAGCAGTAATTCCTCTTTACTTTTTAAACTAACACTTTTGTACCTGGTCAGTTCTGTAAAGAATTATACCATGAAAAGCTAATAGAAAGGTTTATCATAAGAGCCATCAAGCTACTCTGAGTTCAGAAGAACACAGAAGGCTGCTGGATTCTCATGAATGTTTTGTCAAGGCAGGGGCACCTAGCACACCTCTGTCTTCATTTCTTCTCGCTTCCCTCCTTTCCTTCTGATTAGTTAGCAGGTGCAGAATACCCACTGTGTACTACTAGTCCCAGTTACTGCAGTGACCTTTCTAGGGCTATCTCCAACACAATACATCCCAAAGCATGGGCTGTTCCAGGGTCTCATCTCTGTATCTTTTCCCTTTCTATAGAAATTCAAGAATGTTCACTGATACCAACAGGAGCCTGACAGCTGACTTGCAGAGTATAACAGGTCCAACACACAGAAACTGTCCTTCATGTCTTTACTCACACATAGTCATAAACCATGGCATATAATGACTTTGTCCTAATATCTAGAAGATATTAGACTCTTAGTCTTTAACTTTATCATAGTCAGATACAAGTTTTGAAAATCTGATGTGAATGAAAGATCACAAAAACAGAGCAAAAAGATAAGCACACAGTTTCATTTTATTTAGAAAGTTCACAAATGCTGAAACCTATCAGTGAACCTCCAGGTCAAATTACCTTTCTTTTTCTGCCTTCTTTTATTTTTCCTTTTACCTGATAAAAATCCTTTGGCAACTGGATTAAATCACTTCATTGGCTTTTTTTCCATCATAGATGTTTATCGTCTATTCCTCTTGTCTAAATAAAACATTACCCCCCCCTTTGTTTGTTTGGTTGGTTGATTGGTTAGTTTTCTGAGACAGGCTCTCATTTCTTGTCTGAGTATCCATTGCCCAACAGCTTCCCCTTACAACTCACCAGTCTCTATTATGGGATATTCTGTTCTCTGCCTCTAGGAGCTCCACTATTTACATTTCATGTGTAACTGAGAAAATGTGTTATGTGTCTCTCATCACTGAACAGCTCACTTCACCAAGCACAGTGTTCTCCAGCTGATCCATCAATTATCTTCTGTGTTTCAAGTACAATGGGTAGCCAATGGGAATTATCCAATGGTAGGATACATTTCTCTAATAAATAAATCAACTTAGTATACTATTAGGGATAACTTAAGATCCAACCAGTTCAAATTTCACTTCTCCAGTCTCCATAAAATAGTTTATACCTTATCCTACTGGTAACTTAATCTTGAAGTTACGAATATGAATATTGTACAACAAAGGCAAGCCAGAACTTGCATTAGTCGCAAGGCAGCTGCTAAGTTCTCAAATAATATTCCCAGAAACTCTCCAAGGTACATGTGCTTTCATACGCTTTTGACTCTGAATTGGATCCAGGACTCTGTTAGCTCTTCAGTAAAGACTTAACCACAAAGAAGGAAGGTGTCAAACCAGTTGACTAGATATAGGGCATTCAGTCTCCTTCCAGTCCAGCACAACATGTAGAGTCAAAGACAGTACAGGGAATATTCAACAGAGACAGAAATCTTCTGGGAAAGCTATCTGCTCACCTCTAGTTTTTTTGTTTTTTTTTTTTTTAAATGTAAAATGAATCCATAAAGAAGTTAGGGCCTCTTTCTACAAAACACCATGCTTTCCCTGGGGTCCTAAGGATTTGTCACAGGCTCAGCTATGTGCACATTGGCCTCTTGGGAGCCCAATTCTGAGGCTTTGGAGACAGGTGGACCATGACCTGTAATAGCCTATCTAATTGTACAATGTAGTCTTCAGACGAAAGAATTCCCAGCTGAGCCCTCCAGGCAATCAGTCTGAAAGTCCTAAAAATACAGTCCCAAATTACCCTGGATGTCTTATTTCTATAGAATGCATTTTTCCAGGGACATTCCATTTGGGGCTGTAATTCTGAACTTGCTCCACATTTGTAATAGCCCTGCTGGAAAATATCTTTTCTAATCACTAGGCTATGCTTTCGGTGACACTGTCACTTTCCAAGTACTCACAATCTAAAAATCACTTTTTATCTCTTCTCTGCCACAAGCTCCCAAGGCTAAAGAAGGTTTTCTAACAGTCTGGGTGTCCTGTAGCTCAAAAATTTTTTTCTTTCTATTTTGTGCCTTTGAGAGATTTTTAGAAAGTGATTTTGGCCTCTCTTTCCTACTCCTTTTGTCATTTCCCCTACTCTGCTGTCTAGTTTGAAAGCTCATATTGAAACTGCTTTAATCAACAAGGGTAATAAGTGAGGAAGGTCCAAAGAGTCCTGGGAGCCCATGCATCTACATCCCAATAGTTCATCTCTCCTTAATCTCAATGAGCCTCTGGATTTTGTTAACATCGGGGTCAACTTGAGTCCATGAGTTTAGAAGGTGTATAATATAGAAAATCCTTCAGAATAACTTGCAGAGAGAATGCATAGCTTCTGTTAAAATCAAAATGAAAAATCATACAGCAATCTTTCAATGTGTGTTGGCTCCCAACTCATAAAACACTCAAGGAAACATCCATGTTGAGCAGCGCCATGAGATGGGTATGCATGATTCTTGGAGTAAATTTTTGGAGTTTCATAAGGAAGGTCACAGTTCCTGTGTTCATGGAGTTCATGTTTAACACAGAAAACGGACAAAAATTCAACACACATATGTGCTGATTTCAGATAGTTAAGGTCATTAAAAAAAAGAAACATGCAACAGAAAGATGTGACTCATGAAAGAAGCAGAGGCCTTTATGATGTTATAAAAGCCAGGCAATTGTTGCATTCATTGTGATATTAAATAAATCATACTTTCTTAAAAAAAATAAAATAAAATTAATAAATAATAAAAGTCAGGCAAACCTGTTTAGGTGAAATGGCTAATATTCTTTCTTATAAGCATTGATTTCCAATTTATATAGTAGGGATGAAAGACAAAGGTAGGGATGAAAGACATCCTCTGCAGCTGTATCTAAAACAACACTGCAACTTGGAACCATTAGCTAGCAAGGTGGGCTTTTTGTTTTTAAATCGCACTGAAACTTGTTTTGCATAGTATCGATATTCAGTAAATACTTGTCACTGACTTTGTACACTCACTGTCACAACTAGCTGTCCCCCCCGCAACCTGCTGTAAGCTACCAGCAATAAAGATGGAAGCTAAGTAGAAGGTTGAATTTGAGACTGCTTCTCTGATGCACAGTGACAACTGTAATACCCTCTGAAACTAATAAGGTCAAGCTATAGCTGGTGGCATCCTCTCTAGTAGGACGGTGACCTATCTACTGCTGTGTGAGATGAACCTGCAGAATGACTGTCCTGTCTTTATGGGACAGAAGGTAGCAAGCTGAGTGGAAATAATACCAAACACAGAGCTGTGTGAAGAGTGTGATCAATGATTGACACATACATAGAAGACAGACATAATGGATAGACTATACCCACATACACACACACACACACACACACACACACACACACACACAGTCTTACTAAAACTAAGTGGTCTTTCCTCTAAGTTCACATATTTGTCTCTCTCTATTTTATGATCTGCAACATAACTTCTGAATTATTTTACAGAGCATAGTAGTATTAATGTAACAATATACTTTTATAATTTCTCTTCCTTCTCTGCGTCTGCATTCACTAGATATCTATTGGTCTGTCAAGGATGCCATGGTCATCCGTGGCAAGAGTAAGATGTAACTGGGACGTCTTTCATTGATTAATCTAGTTTCACTCAGTTAGATACATAAGCTGGTAACACCTTGATCCTGATACCTATCTTTCATCTTTCTCTTAGATGAAGTATATTGAATATATAAAGATTTCATATCACCATATGTATTGAAAAAGAAAGAAAACTGAAAGGCAGCCATAAAGTGGAAATTGCAGGCTGTTTTCTAAGGGTCAGAAAATAAATACCATACACTTTGCTGACCACACATGACTTCTTGACTCTCTCTTCACAGGGGGAAGCAGTTACACAAAGCAAATAGCCATGTAAGCAAGGCTGAGCTTCAATAAATTATTACAAGGAAAAATGAGTGCTGGTCTGTATTTTCCCTCCTGGTAACAGTTTTCGCTAGTTTTTGCCTAAGCATTATAGACTAAAGCAACTAAGGAACTAGATAGAGAAAGTAAATGGATGATTAAGTCAATAATTATTAACTCTGTTGAGTTTTAAACTTCTCTCAAAATGTGATGAAACATCTCCAAAGGAAAATACGCTCACACAATTTTGAATTCAGCTCACCAGGTCTACAGATAAAAACATGCATCATTAGCTCTGTGACAGGTGACTTTTTTATAAGCTGTAAGAGGGCTAGGAACTCCCTTCACCATAGGTGCACACTATCATATTTCACTCAAACTGCCATTGGAAATACTCATCAGAAATTGCCCTGGAGGACTGGGGACACTGCTCAGTGTTGGGTAAGCATGCTTAGCATAGGATACCCTTTGTTTAACTATCAATACTACAATCAGAAACAAAAATAAACAAAATACACCTCACCAAAATCCCTAAATAGATTTTTTTAAAAACCAAAACAAAAATACTAAGACTGGAAATAATAATTTGGAAGGGAGCAAAGGTCTGGGGGCCATATTCCCATTTCCAATCTCCGGTCATTACAAATGATAGACCCACTGATTTTTTTTTTTAGACTGTGTTTTCACACCTTCTCCTGACCATTTTTCAACTGAGCAGAAGTCACAAAACTACATTCACCCTCTTGTTGGACACCAATTCCAGTCTTCTGCTGTGTGGGGCATGCCACTCCAGCATGCAGACTCACCAGCAAACAGTGCACAGGGTCTCCCCGGAGATCAGCATCTGGTGCCTGCAGCAAACGCCAGTCTCTACCTTTGTTGTACGTGATGAAAGTCTTCACTTGGTTGTCAATCTTCTTGTTAGCCAAGAACATTCCCTTTATCCCTGCTACCTAGGAAAAATTGACATGGCTGAAAAATACATCAATTTGAGAAGGGACATATTTGTTTTCATTAAAAACAAAATAAATCCAACCAAAAGCACTAACTTGTCTTAAGGGAAAGACAGAATGAGAATGGATAATTTAAAATGCTTAGCAATACCCCCTCAGCTGGTGGACAGAAACCAACAGCCTTGAACACCCTTGCTATATGGAGGCTGGTTATCTTTTTGTGTTGTTGTTTAAATGATATTTACAGTAACTTTATTCATAATCACCTCAATGTGAAGCCTGAAACTCTGAAACTGTTAGAAGAAAACATTGGCAATAACGTGCACGATATAGATGTAGAAAGAACTGTCTAAACCAGATATCAATTGCTCAGGAATTAAGGTCAAGAATCAGCAAATGGGAGCTCATTAAACTACAAAGCTTCAGTACATCAAGAGAAGCAACCAAGGAAGTAAAGAGAAAACTCATAGAATGGGAGAAAATCTTCACCAGGGACACATCTGACAGGTTTAATATCCAGAATATATAAAGAACCTAAAAAAAAAAAGAATCAAGAAAGCAAGTGACCCAATTAAAAGACGTGCTAAGGAGCTGAACAGAGCATTCTCAAAAGAAGAGATAAAATGGCTAAGAAACATCTTAAAGGGTGTTCAGCATCATTACTAATTAAGGAAATGCAAATTAAAAACACTTTAAGATTTCACCTTACCCCAGTCAGACTGGCTAAGATCAAGAAAACAAATGATGCCAAATGTTGGAGAGGATGTGGGGAAAGGGGAACACTCATCCATGGCTGGTGGGGCTGCAAACTTGTACAACCCCTATGGAAAGCAGCGTGGAGAACCCTTAAAAAACTAAAAATGAACCTACCATTTGACACAGTTATACCACTCTTTGGCTTATATCCAATTTCAGAGACACTTGTACATCCACGTTTGTTGTTGCTCTTTTCACAGTAGCTAAGGGATAGAGGCAACCCAAGAATCCCTCAACTGACGAGTGGATAATGAAAATATGGTACATTTTTACACAATGGAGTTCTACTCAGTGGTAAAGAAAGACCAAAAGTAGAAACAGCCAAGATGTGTTTCCTGATGTGAACAACAAAATAAACTGTTGCATATACAAACAGTAGAGTATTTGGAATTAAGAAGAAACGTGATATCAAGCCACAAGAGGACAGAAGGGGACTCCAAAAACACATTAAAAAGTGGAGGATTGCCACTGTATGACATTCTGGAAAATGAAAAACTATAGAGTCATAAAAAATGATTCATTTTTCCATGGATAAGGCAGAAGGAGGGAGGAATAATTGGAGTGTACATGATTCTCAAGGAACTGAAACTATTTTGTCATCCACAATGGTGGGTATAAGTCATTAGATATTTGTCAAATGCCATGGAAGTTAAAACCGCAATAGTGAACTTTTTATGAACTAGACCTGTTATCTGAAGGTAGGTCGACCCTAGCAATCAGTGGCCAGGAGATACACTCTAGCACTGCCAATCCTGATACTCAGCAAGTGGTAAATAAACAGGAACTACTTTAATTATATGTTAGAATTCAATCCAGAATCTTAAATAATTTATCTCTGATTTAATCCTTGTAACATTTATTTTGGGAAACAATTACTAATTGTGTTTCACACATTAGATCTATCTCAAGCACATCTAGTTAACTAGACTTTCCCAAGGTCACACTCCAATAATACACAGTAAGTGTCAGACTGGGTATTGTAACCCAGAACTCTGTAGCTTCAGAGAGCATGGTTGTAGAGACTATCTAAATTACTGAGCTATCTATAGCCCTAGGAAATTGTAAGAGGTCATCTAAAAGACCCTAATGTCATAATTATTCATTTTTCACTGTAGCAGTTCCTCTTGCTAATACATCAAATTTACTGAGCATTAGGGAAAAAATTAATTTGAAGAAGCAACAGTTTTCTATATCATCAAAGAATCATTCCTCCATCCTTACAATATATTGTTCTGGCGTTAAAAATGTTATTCATAGTTAACTCTGAAAATACACTTGATTTTTCTTTTCTATATGTTAAGAGTAACAACTGACAAGTTGTCAGAATTGTGTAGTTACAAACCAGAACTTGTAGACTTTCTTCTCAGACATCTGGAGCTTATCAAATGTATACTTTACCTGGCTTGAAATGGTCATGACCCAGGGAAACTGGAGGGCAGTGGGGAGAGATCAAAGGCATGATGAACAGCACATTTCATCTCCACCCACATAAGCTCCTTTAGCACTCATGATTACCATGAGGTAGAATTGTGATTAGTCACATTTTAAAGGCCAGAAAGTGGAGGCTTAGATCATGTATGCATCTGTCTGGAACTCACACACAGCATTAGTAAGTGAATACACTGAAAAGCATTTTTGAAGTCCTTTAACTTAATTTGGACCCTTTCACTATGTGTGGTCAATTTTAAACAGAAGAATAAGCTTCTTAGTAAAGATTCTGCTTCCCAGGTTGTTAATCTCAAGAATGATGTCATATCTTTGTCTATACACTTCCCAATGATTGATACAAACCTGCATAACAGACTGTACCCCAAGTCCATGGATAAGGAATGCTAAGGTGTTGACAAAACCTAAATGTTTAGGCTCTCAGAGAATGGAGTTGTGTACTCAGATCTGTTTGACTGCCAAAATTCTTCGAACAGACACAGCTTGGAATTTGTCAGTTTTAAGAAGTAGGGCTTCGATCCACAGCAGACATGCATTTTGGTTTTGTTTTTTGCCACAGACCTTATTAATCTGTACCTGCTGATCTGGCATCTGGGATAATCTAAAGACGGGCCAAATCTGTACTCTTTTGGAACAACAAGATTGTTTAACAAATAAATGGTGCAAAGGAGTTGTTGAAAGGAATATTTTGAACTACTTAGGAAAACAAGCCACATTCTGAGCAATCAACAGCAGCCAGAACAATTTCTGGTGCATTGTTGTTTCTCAACAAATGTGGAATGAGTAGAATCCAGGAGCGCTCTACCTTCCATCTCCATGTTAATTACAGATGATATTTAGTTATTCACTATAATAGCTCCATAACGGTTGCTTCCTAGGAAACCCCTTATTAGTTCTGCATATGTTCAAGAGACTGTTGCATACTTAAATAGAATCAAACTGCCAGTTCTTTAAAAATTAAATTGCATTAATCAGAATTTTCACAAAGTCATGCGAGCCTTTCTTTGACACTAGTGTATGTCTAGAAATGAGAATCGACTGTCTCAAGATTCAGTGCCCTAGAGGGTTGCAATAGTGCAAAAGGAATACAAAATGTTACCCACTTCAGTAGTTTTGTTCTGTTTCCTCCTGCCCTCTCTCTTTGGGAAGAGCCACAGAGCAGGACTATCATGTTTTGGAGCTGGTTCATTTGATTTATAGAAGTGGTGACTATATTGGCCCCTGACTGCTTGGCATTATCAAATGCCACTTGAGCAGAGATCTGAGCTTTGTAATTCATCTCTGAAAGTGTGGCTTTCAGTTTTATCTTGAGGAGTAAAAACTTGGCAAAGTAGAGGGAATGTGTGTCAACAGGGTTAAAAGCTGAAGAGGGCCTGCTTATATTCCTCTTGTAACCAAAGAACTTTATCCATTGGGTGAGTGTGTGTGTGGGGGTGTGTGTGGGGGTGGGTGGGTGTGTGCATGCGTGCATGCATGTGTGTGTGTGTGTGTGTGTGTGTGTGTGTGTGTGTTTTACTTGTTTAGCTTGGTCTGAAAAGCTGGTCAGTTTTGCTCTTTTCTGTTTACTCTGAATTTGATAAAGTTTCATCTTCTAAGTTTCTCACTACAATACTATGCATGAGGCTCTTCAAATGGTTTTGTAGAATAAGGTTACATCATTTTCTTAAATCTCTATCAATTCTTTATCAATAGGACAGCAGTAGAGAATATGGAATTATGTGAGTGTCCAAGTGTACACATTTGATTTTATATATGTGTGTCTGTGTATAAAGTGCAGGATTCCATCCAGGATGGTACAGCATGTTTATATCATAAGATTACCCTCCTCTGTACCAATATTATAGGTATGCTAGGGAAGGCAGGCAGGCTGAGGGATGACAGCAGACACAGGAAAGTGATATGTTCATTGGAAGCTATGGGTTCACATAGACACAGAATTCCAATGAAGATCTTCCTATGACAATGATATATCTCACTGTTGGGAGTTTGTCTTCCTTTGCAGAAAGACCTGTCAAATTTCATGCCTGTTCAAATTGGCATAACAATCTCTGAGAATAATGGGTGTGCTGGGAGCTATTTTTCTCTCTTGGCTTCTCATACAGAAGGATTTGTTAACAGAAGTTTCAAAGGTAATTCAAAGTTATTATCATTTAATATCATACAAATCAAGATATCTTTCTGATCAGACTTTAAAGATGAAGTGTTATAGCTCAAACCTAAAGTTGAAACACGTGAGCATATTCCTAAACCCAGAGCACAGCCTTAAAGTGCTATCTTCCTTCTCCTTCCTAGTTCTCCATGTGCATGCTGACCACCCTGGAATCCCACACAGTCCCCTGATGTATATCTTCCTATTCTTTCCTCAGAGTGAGCTCGATAAACCTTCTCAAGAATCACTTTACATCCTATGTAACTGCTTCTAACAGGTGTCTGTCTGTCTGTCGCCCCTTTTCTTGTATTCATGATCTCTCAGCATGGTCTCAGCAACTGTGAAATCTTCTTATGGATGATAATCTTTCTGTAAGTTTTTAAAATAGACTTTGTAATCCTTGTCATAAGTTTAGATGATCGTTCACATTATGCTTTCTAACCCTAATATAATCTCAGGATTAGCATTAATTCCATCTTCTTGAAACTTATTATTAGTACAGACACTTTGCATACAGGGTCCCAATTTTGCTTTAAATAAGCTAGGTAATAAGAGTTCTCCATCAGATGATGCAACATTGGAGGACTAGCAAAGAGGACTTCTATGATTCAAGGCCAGTCTTTTCTATCGAATGTGACTCTGTCTGCAA